TAATCCCCTTATAATGACATTAAATTAAATGACATGCTAAATCAGAGAAATACAAGGAATAATAATTATTATTATTATCCCATACAAGATATATAGTCTAATTTTACAACTGATAAATCAGAGAAATACAAGGAATAATAATTATTAGTACATGCAACATACCTAAGACAACATCGATATAATCTATATAATTATATATATAAATATGGTGAATATTAACTAAGCATTAAACCATAAATCATCTAGGGCCGCGGCGCAGTCGTTTGTGAGTCCGGGTCCAGTGAATGGGTAAGCCTCGCCCGGATCCGACCCGTTTTCAGATATCTCAAGCAAGTTGCCCCACCACCGAATGCATTCATCTATTTGATCTTCTTCTTCTTCTACGTCGACATCGTCTTTTGACGGTAGATTTTCATCGTTACTAATTCGATTGTGATCGTTAATTGGGCCGGCCAATAACAAATCAGATGTGTTCTTTTCTAACATGGGATTTTCATTATTTGTAGCAGGTGGCAGTACTGCTACTGTTTGTGATCTGGCAAAGGTCCGAGGTCGGGGTCTGATGATGTTGCTCTCGTTGACGGTTTTCACAACCGCCATTCTTGAACTTCCTCCGGCGCCACCACCAGAGGCGGCGGCGGGTGAAGTGGATTTCTTCTCGAAGTGGGTGTTCCAGAAGTTCTTGATATCGTTCGCCGTTCTTCCCGGGACTCTACCGGCAATCCATGACCATCTGCATCGTCAAATATTATATATATTAATATTAAATAATACATTTCACTTATAACATGCTCGTTCATCAGTTATTATAAGTAGAGAGAGAATAATTGCCTGTTGCCGAGCAACCTATGAAGGCGAACAATGAGATCGATTTCGTCTTGGTTGAATATTCCTCTCTTAAGATTCGGTCTCAGATAATTTAACCATCTCAATCTGCAACTCTTCCTACATCTGTTCAGCCCTGATATATATATGCCCATGTATATAATATATATAACAAATAAATATATCTAAAATCGTATGAAAAAGAAGAAGAAAAAAACATAATAATTATAAAATCAAAATCTGAAAATAATAATATATAATATTATGATTATTACCAGTTCTGAGAGGGACAAGATGCCACTTTCCTTCTCCGTAGGTTTGAACGCATTTCTTCAACATTTGATCTTCTTCTTTTGTCCATGCACCTTTCCTCACTCCTCCAACTACTCTTTTGTTTTTCTCCATTTCCGACACCTTCGATGCAGCAAGAATATATATATATATATATATATATATGGCGAAGAGTTTTAAATAAATAATATTAATGTTATTATATATAGATATATATGTATATATATAGATATATGCGTGAGAAGAAATTTAGGGAACGTGCATAAAATGCAGGCACACTAGGTAGGTAGTAGCTAAATACTTAATTGTTATGAATTATTTGGGGGATTTAAATGCAGTTTTCGCTTCTGACAATTGTATGACTTTATCAAACGTGCATGTTT